GATCAAGTATTGAGAGAAATTTGCCTTCGTGGAGGACTTTTTGATGGAACTAACCCGCATTTGCGTTACATGGAGAGGAAGACCACGAGTACCTCCCACGGTTAGTCTGATGGCAAAGGGACTTTAACCCATGATCCATCTACCACTGAGGATATTTCAGGTCAGCACTATGGTCGGTGCAAGCCGGATTCAGATTCTTTCAGACCAGTCATTGCCGGGATTCGAACCCAGTTCACCTCATTGGAAGGCGAACGCTCTAGCCCCTGAACCATCGCGGCTCTAATTATACATATATGCTCTTAATGTGAGTAAACAAATACTTCTTCAAAGTTTTGAGTACTTATTTCTTGAAATATACTAGTATTTTTGAAAAAAAATGACTCTCACTTTGTAATATAAAATAAATTTCAAATGAATTCCTTATGCAAAAAAATTTTTAAAAAAATCGCAATATATCCTTCATTATGTTAACTATATTAATGTTCTTTACTTAGCATTGTCTGGACTAAACAAATGCTTATCCCTCTCTTCTAATCTATGGGGATTTTGGAAAAATTTGAAGCTTACTTTGTAATCTGAAATAGGTTTCACGTGTATTCCTCATTGCAAAAAAATATTAAAATTCTCAATTTATCCTTTATTATGTTAACTAAATTAATGCTCTTATTGCAGCATGGTTTGAACTAAAAAAATTCTTCTTAAAACTTTTCGGTACCTATTTATTCAAATCCATGTGTATTTTTGAAAAACTTAACGCTTGCTTTGTAATCTGAAACAGATTTCAAACGAATTTCTCATATTATGCTAACTATATTAATGCATTTAACGTAGCATGATTTCGACTGAACAATGGCTTCTTAAAAATTTTAGGCATTTATTTTTTCACATTTGCGTGTATTTTTGAGAAATTTGAGGATTATTTTGAAGTATGAAACTAGTTTTATATTAATTCCTCATTTCCAAAAATTATAAGAAATTCGCAAAGTGTCCTCTAATCCATCTTAAAAATTTCAACTACTTATTTCTTGACACATGTGGGCATTTTTAAAAGAGTTGACGTTCACTTCTTAATTTGAAAAAAGCTACAAATGAATTACCCATTGTAAAAAATTATAAAAATTGGCAATATATCCTTCATTATGCTAACTATATTAATGCACTTAACGTTTCGACTAAATAAATGCTTCAGATTACAAATTACGTACATAATTGTTTCAGATTGCGAAGTAAGTGTCATTTTGTTTCTAAAATCCACATAAATTAGAAGAAATAAAAATTCAAAGGCTTTTAGAATCGTTTGTTTAGTTTAAACCATTCTGCGTAAGGAGCAAATTTGTAAAAATTTTTTGCAATGAGGTATTCTTTTGAAACTTAATTCAAATTGCAAAGTGAGCGTCATTTTTTTTTTCAAAAATCCCAATATATTTCAAGAAATATGTACTAAAAATTTTAAGAAAGATTTGTTTACTAACGTTAAGAGCATATATATATATATATATATATATAATAACTCAGAAAAGGGCAATTTGCGAATTTTTTAAAAAATGTTTTGCAGTGAGGAAATAATTTTAAATTTATTTCAGGTTATAAAGTGAAAGTCAATTTTTTTGAAAAATGTCCAGATGTGTCAAAAAATAAGTATTCAAAATATTTAATAAACAGTTTTTAATCCAAACAATGTTACGTTATGAACATACATGTTAAAATATATAAAAAATAAAGGTGGCAATTTGCGAATTTTTCTAATTTTTCACAATGGGCATTTCATTTTAAACTTGTTTCAGATTACAAAGTAAGCATCAAATTTTTCAAAAACACCCACAGATGTGAAAAATAATACACAAAATTTTCAAAAAGCATATATTTAGTCCAAACCATGCTACGTTAAGAGCATTAATATAGTTAACATAATGAAGGATATATTGCAAATTTTTTATAATTTTTTGCAATGCGGAAATCATTTGAAACTTTTTTCAGATCACAAAGTGAGTGTCAATTTTTCCAAACTTACCCATATTTGTCAGAATATAGGAACACAAATTTTTTAGGAAGCAATTTTTAGTCCAAACAATGATGTGTTAAGAACATATGCATTATTGACGAAAAGGAGGACAATTTGCGAAATTTTTATAAATTTTTATAATGAGGAACTCATTTGAAACTTGCTTAAGATAAAGGAGCTTCAATTCTTTCAAAAACACCCGTATTTGTCAGAAAGTGGGAACTCAAAATTTCTAGGAAGCAATTTTTAGTCCAAGCAATGCTACGTTAAGAGCATACATATAAAAATAAAGGAAGACAATTAGCGAATTGTAGTAGCTTTTTCCAATGAGAAATTCATTTAAAGTTAATTTCAAATTACGGAGTGAGCGTCAAATTTTACAAAAATGCCTATAAATGTGAAGAAATAAAAACTAAAAAATTTTTAAGAAGCTTTTGTTTCTAAACCATGCGACGTTAAGAGCATGTATATGGTTAACATAGCGGAGGACAGTTGTTGATTTTTTTATAATTATTAGCAATGAGGAATTCATTTGAAACTTATTTCAGATTACGAAGGTAGAGTGAAATTTCACAAATATACCCATAGCTGCGAATAAATAAATACCCAAAATTTTTAAGAAGCGTTTGCTTAGTCTAAACCATGCTAAGAAAGAGCCATGCTACGTCATCCCTACTAAGAGCTTAGCAGTGGAGTTGAACTCTCATCCATACTAAGGAAGTGGAGAGTAGCGCTCATCCTATAGACGAGAATTCATCGATCCGAAGTGGAGTGATGAGCTCATCCCATAGCACTATAATAAGAGAGTTTATCAACCCTCATTTTTCCGATACTCAAACCTCCAAGCTTCATCAGACAATTTAACTGGTTTTGCAAATCTTCTGCCCGCTTTCCTCACAAGTGATTTGACAGATTTCAGAAGCGCTTAGTTTCGGTTTCACTCTTGAAATTATAATTTATGAACACTAAGGAAAGTGTGTGCTTTTATTAAATGCATCTTTAACCAAGATTCTAAAAACGCATGTACAGTGCGCAAAATTAGAAATGGGCCACCCTGAATAACTTTTGATCTAATAATCGAATCTTCACGTTCTAGGGCTCAATCTTAATGGTTTAATTGTTTGAGGGGGTGACCTCAAATATGGTGATTGATTAGAACAGATGATAGTTCAGGTTACAAAATCAGATACAAAAACACATTTTCTCTAAATAAACACACTTTTTTTCCCCAACGGATTTGAATTTCTGACTCCCGAAACAAACGGGGTAGCCACAATCTGGGAATTATGGTCCCAATAATTTGGTCAGAAGATCTGAAATAGTTGAAAAAGTATGCACATATCTTAAATTTATATTCAAAAAAAAAAAAAAAAAAAAAAAAAAAAAAAAAAAAAAAAAAGAAGAGAAAAAGGAAAAATCGAAGACAAAACTAAAAACTAAAGAATCACTACTGAGAAAAGCGGGTCTAAAAACATCGAAATGTGCTTGATTATGGGATAAAAAAAAGATGAGTTGAAGGGCAATTGGTATAAACACCTCCGAGTTTCATCAGGCAATCAAACTGGTTTTGCGAATCTTCCTCCCGCCTACTTCACATGTAATTCGACAAATTTTAGTAGCGCTTCGTTTCGGCCTCACTTGAAATTATAATTTGTGAACCCTAAGGAAAATGAGCGATTTTATTGAACACATTTTTACTAAGTTTCAAAGAACTTAATTATACGCACATTCATATCATTTTAGTAATTGTGAATGTGTGGAAACGAATAGGATGAGAAAATGGACAGACGTATATTAAATACCTATTTTCATCATGATGCGTTTTTTTCTTTTTTTTTTGCACTTCTATTCCAAAAACTTTTATAATTACTTTTTTTCCTAATTTGCAAAAAAAAAAAAATTTAAAAAAAAGAAAAAAAAAGAAAAAAATCATATTCTTATGATTAGGAAATTATAAGAAATAAAATCAATTAAAACGTAAAACACCTGAATTTTTTCAACAAATAAAATTAATGGATTAGTTTTAAAATCTCAGTTAGGAAGTTGTAATATTTAAGCTATGTGTTAGAAAATAGTGTTAGATGGAAAAAAATTTCTTTTCGTCTAATCGCTTGTCTTTCAATGGCGATCCTCTATTGCGCACGCAAGAGTAATCAAGAAGGTGCAATTGCACTTCTTGGAAATCCAATTAAAAACCATATTTCGGTATTAAATGTTAAAATTTTTTTATGTTTAATCGTAACAAAGTATTCTCGTTAAATCTACTCTTTCTATAAACTGAACGCAAAAAATTAATTTTTAAATTTAATGCTGAAATTAACTAAAAGTATTAATTAAAAGTACAATTAATTTAAAGTATTTTATTGCGCAGGGTTTTTATGAATTTTTTATGCTTAAAAATTTAAATGTTGTTAAAAAAAGAAAATTTTACGCCTAAAATTGTAGGTTTAGATGCGTACTCGTAGAAATATACATAAAAGAAAAAAAAAATTCCCGATAGTTGCAATATTTCAATAAATGTTTCTAATTCTCTCATCCACACGAAAAAATTTCTACGTACACCCCAGTTCAAATTTGGTGAGCATCAAATGTTAAAAGTATATTTTGTTTAAAATAGAATCTTTCGAAAAGTTTAAAGATAAATTCTTTTGACTTAGATTTTTTTTTCTCCCAAACTATAGGTGACCAGTTTTCTCAAAAAACTAAAAAATCTGGTAACAAAATTTCTAAAAAAAAAAAAGAAAGAAAAAAGAATTTAAAATAGCATTATAACCTTCAAAATAATATTATTTCTGTTAGAAGATCTCGGCGTGGGATTTCTGTTCTCAGAATAATAAATTTTAAAGATAAAGCAGTGAGTTTTTTAAAACAGAAATTTAACTACCCGTTCTTTTAGTTTTTTGAGGACGTTGATCAGCTTACTCAAACTTGGAGGTGAAAAAAAAAAGCTCAGTAAAAACCGAGTTTTTGTTCAACCAAGACGGCAATCCGGATTTTCATTTGACAGTCGCTCTAGTATTTGGCTTTCTCACGCTGGCAACGCTGATTGTTATTTCTATTTGTGTTTTGGAAATTTGGAAAATTGCGAATAGTGAATTGGCATGTGTTATTTATGTATTTATTATTTTCATATGATGAACTCAGGTAATTTTATCGATTATTTTTAATAACGACAGCTTTCGTCTTCGTTTACGAGTAGAATTGTGGAAATGAATTTCAGCTATACTGAACTTGACATCCAAATCAGCTGGGCATTTGTCTCAAGTATTGTAAACAGTGCATCTGTGTTCGAAAATGTAGAACTTTTAGTTTCATTATTTATTTGATTTTATCCTTAGATGTGGTGTATTATTGAAGCTCATGCTATTTCAGTTCCTGCTGTTTATTTAGATTGGTTTTCTGCAATAAAATACTATTTAACTGTGGCTTGCAGTCCGCAAGATGCGGCCATTTGCTGACAGATATACAAGTTTTGTCGCAGAAAAATAATTGGTTGTCTGTGTGTATTTTCGTGTATCGGAATTAAACTATGTGTATGTTCAAACGTTAAAGCTTTTGAAGCATCGGAAGATTAAATGCTGGTGGAAACAATATGGTGAAATTTCTATTAGTTTTCTTTCTAATGTAAAAAAATATATGGTACCTATATCACAAATGTACTTAATCCATGATATAACGGAAATATTTGAGCGAAATGTGGTGCTATTCTGAGAAACATATAATTTCATTTACTCATCTTCAGTGTTGTTAGTGCTGATGTTTTTTTTACATATAACATTTTTCACCATGTGTAGAGTGGACACATTAGAAAATTTATGTCAGGAGCTTCTGTTTCTCATGATAAACAGAGTTTTTAATGTTTGCAATAATTCTTTCTCTGTAATTTAAAGTAATCTAAGTTAAACTATTCATTTCTTAAATTAAAAGAAGTGTTATTATGTATATCAAAATTTTAAAAAACCTTTTTTAAAGAAAAAAAATGCCTGCCCACCTAGGTTTTTCATCAAAAACTCAGTTGATGGAAGACCAAAAAAAAATTTCCGAAACGATTTCTGTATCGTGATGTGCAGTAGAATAATCGCCTGGTCTTCACAACTTCCAAGCCGCAGCCTGTAAGGAACTAAAAAAAAATCCCTGAAAGGATTAAATGTATAACTCAAAGCCACTTCCTACATGTTTTTTTTTTATAAAATTGTTTGAAATCCATTTAGTGGTTGTAGTAGGCATGACAGATCTTGATACAGAAATATCTCCTAATTTTAGAAATCTTTTAAATTTTTTTCTCGAGTCCTTGATAAAATTTCAAGATTTGCTTCTAATATGATAGTACAACGTTTGGTACTATTTATCACTTGTTTTCTTGTAATTTAACCATTTTTTGAGAGAAGTTTTAGATTGCTTCTTATTTCATAATAAACAGATTTTCTTTAAAATTTAAAATTATTCAATTTAAAGATCGCAGAATTTTTTATTGCTTTAACTCAGATTTAATTTCAGATTCTAATGGAATAAAATTTACATTTTTGCTCGGTTACCATTTCAACTAAATCTGCAATAAACTTTTGGTTACTATAAGATTATGTTAAAGTTTTTCGTGTTACAGATTGTTAGTAATATTGTGCAAAGTTAATTTTGAATAACAGTTTTGTATTCGTTATATTAATGGTAAATTTTATCTGGAAACTGTTTTATATAAAGTTTATTTTATAAGTAAATATAACTTATTCAGGGGGGAGAATCCTCAGCTTTCTTATGATTTTTACCGTATATCCACTTTTTGTTAAATTTTTATCAGATTCCTTCCGTAATATTATTAAAGAGAAAAATATTGCGATATCAAAGTTTCGCAACTTTGATAATTGATCTTAAAAGAGATTTATATAATAAAACTTTTATTTTTCTAAGAATTACATTAGATTTTATTTATTGTCGAGTTCTGTTACAGCATTTATTGGCTATAGTAATTATTCTTTGCATTTCCATTGTAATAGTGTTCCTGTTGTTCATTATAGAACCCAAGTAAACGGAATTGTCAACAACCTCAAATGTTTATTCTTCAATTTTTAAATGGGTGTTATTGAAGCTTGCTTTAGTACAGGGAAAATATTTAGTTTTGCTTTCGCTTATTCTCAAGCCCATCTTGAGAGCCGCTTTTTCTAAAGAAATAAAAGCCTGTCTTAGTGCTATAGGTGTTCTAGCAATAATGTCTATGTCATCAGCAAAAGCCAACAGTTGTACAGATTTATTAGAAATATTTCCCCTGATGTTAATGTTGGAATCTAATACTTTTTCTAATACTAATTTGAAGAGAAGGCATGCCAATGCATCCCCTTGTCTCGCACCATTATTTATTGCCATTGGGGTTGACAGATTATTCTGTATTTTGACCCTAGTTTTGGTTTCATTTAGTGTCAGGCATACCAGCCTAGATAACTTTTTAAGCACTTTAAACTCGCTCAAAGCTGTAATGAGGGCTTTTCTATTGATGCTATCATATGCAGCTTATTAACAAATTTTAATATTTAAAATAAAATAAGAATTAATTACGTTGGTTTAAATTTGAACTGTCAATAATCCATTCTGTTAGAAAGTGTTTCTTCAAGTGCATGATTTGAAACTATCCTCATTTTGATGATGTAGAAAACGTATCATTCAAAAAAGATGTAGTTTTAAAACCATGTAAATCCATTGCAATAATTGAAAGAAAAATGCAATTGTTAATCTGCGTGAATTAACAAGGAAATCATCCATAATCGAGAGCATAAAGATGTGATTTTTTTTAATAGTGCGATTCAAAGTTCATTGAACAAATTAAAATTGTATTAAATCACTGAGATTTTAAGAACTTTTTGAAAGTCTATTTTAATTACTGGCCAAAACACAATAGAGAAAGCTACATGAATTTACTGTGAGATCGTTGCTAAGGGAAAACTAGTCAAATTTTCATTTTGAAGCATAGCGAAGTTAATTGTTAACTAGGCTTAAAACAAAAACGCAAATATTTTCCTTATAAAAGACTTCTTTTACTTGTAAAATTGTTATTTATTTAAATATTATTTATTTATTTACTTAACTTTGCAATTGTTATTTATTTAAATAAAAACTTGTTCTGAAGCCTATGAGGAGGTTTTACCTTCATCATAAAGACGCAAAGCAAAGTATGTAATAGATCCAGTTGAACCTCTTTCCTTGTTTCTGATATCACCTAATTTATGATGCAAAGAAATATTCAAGACGAAACAGTTAAGAAACTCATCCCCAATTCCATTGTATATTCCAGTGGGTCGAAAATTACTTACTAAAATGCATGAATCCCAATCCTCTGTATGCTGTAATAACATATTAAAATATCAAGATGTTAAAGATCACGCTGAAATCTATAACAATAGCTCTTAAAATAACAATTAACATGCTAGCTGGATTTATGGTGGAATCTTTGTTAATCGAATAGGTAGAAAAAAAAAGTAATTACATAAATAAGTTTTTCAAAATTTGTGTTAAAGTCTTTAATTATCAAGATTTTAAAAGCTGCTTAGAAATGGTAACAACAATTGCCAAAAACGATATTGCCATAAAATAAATTGGTAAAATGTAGAATTTATCAGAAAATTAATCAAAACTAACTTTTCTCATTACTAAATATTACCAATATGTTTAAGTAAAATTTCATAAATTAAAAAAAATTATAAATTTTTTTTAATGCAGTTAAAATTTCATAATGAATCAATTTTAGTTTCCTGTATCATTGATTCTCAAAGGGGTGTATAACATAAAAATCATAAATTTTTTAGTTCAAAATTTTTTCGTCTTTTTTTGAAACTCTGTTTTTATGTTTGCTTATTTACTGTTTAATAATTGCAAAATGATTAAGTTACATACCGTTTCAATGTGTTTTTTTATAAAATGTTATGTAGTTATTTAATATTACTTGATTACTTTATGTAATAAAAGAATTCACTTTTAGTTTTAAGCAGGGTTGGCAGGTTTTTGACATGTGACAGTTTTTGACAGTTTAAACCATGGTTTAAACCGTCACGTCAAAAACCTCACTGTCAAAAATGTCGAAAATGTCAAAAACCTATATTCATATGTGAAATTTAATTAATACATAAAATTTATATATTTTTTATAAAGGATAGTGTTTCTAAATATGTTCTAGAAAAAATAAATTTAAAATTTTGAAGAAACACTTATATTTTGAATAGTAACCAAAATCTTGTACTTTTGAAAACTCACATCTTTTGTAATATTATGTATTCATTTTCATGTGTTATTGAAAATCTGCAGTGATATTATTAAGAAATTTATTTATAACCAAATTTAGTGTATAGTATAGATTATACTAAAAATTAGACATTTTTAAAGATAAACATTAGCAGTTTTGTACATTAGACATCTTCTTTTAAAGAAAAATCTTTTTAATATTCTTTTAAATCTTCTTAATAATCTTTTTAACATAAGACAATACAAATTTAAGTGCTTTCTGTTAAATACACAGAGTAGTTAGTGTCGATTTACAGTATATTCAGCCTATTCATTTACTATGCTGAAAATTTAGTTTATCCAAATACTTGTGAATTTCATTTTGCTGAATACTATATAGTTTTGTTGAATATCTAAATATTCAGCTGTTGAATAATTACTTCTTGCTTTCAAGATATGCATTATTTGTATTCTTAATACAAGTGGAGAAAAAAAAATTAAGAGATAAAAATTGTTTTAAAATGATAAGTGTAATAATTATAAATAAATATAATAAACAATATGAATTATATTTATCATTATTCATAAATATAACTACTTTTAAATTCAAATTAACATACTGGATAATAAAGATATTCGGTATAACATTAAAATTTTTTTTCATACACTTGTATCAAGTTTGTATTTATACAACATAACTTGTAAGTTCCTTATAAATATTAGTTATATGTTCCTTATATGTCAAAAATGCATAGTAATAAACTTTTAATTTTCTTAAGTATCAAAAAAAAAATTTTTTTTTTAAATATAAATATTTAAACAATTTTTGTGCAAAATTTTTCTGCACATGCATTTGAATATAAATTTCTGAGATTTTAAATCTGTTATTTTACCTTAATTTTAATTAAAAAATATTTTAAAACCTGCTGATTACCTATAGTATAATTAAATTTCAATATAATGCATGGCAACTGTTGGTAGTTTTGAAGTTTATATATTTTCTTGGCAAACTTCAGTTTTTGACATTTTTGACGGGTTTTTGACGGTTTAAACCAGTATTATACCCTTGTCATGTCAAAAACCACTTTTTGACGTCAAAAACCCAACCCTGGTTTTAAGCCTTTAATATCAAGTTATGTTTGGTAAATAATAATATAAAGGATGAAAAATAACTATTACAAGTAAATACCTTTGAAAAGTGAATAAATAAATAGTTTAATAGCTCGAAAAAGATTTTCATTGTTTTTTCCCCTCAAACTTCTACATACTTTTTTTAATGTGAAAAAAAAAAATTTGAATCTCAGTTTCTGCTTTTAGCTCCTACAATGTAGAATAAATTTCTAAAACGTAGTTCAATTTTATTGCAATAAAAAAAATTAATGCATAGATATGATTCATTAAAAAATAATCATAAATTAAATATATATATAGTTTCATAGACATGATTAAAATACTTAGAAGCTTTCATGTTATATTATAATGTATGAACTTAATTTATCTTACAGTTAGCTTAAGAAAATCCAATAACTTTATCAAGCTACGTAAATAAAAACTGCCAGTTTTTCGTAAATGAAGTAAATTGATAATAATCATAGTTTAAATCTCTACAAACTGTATTGATATTCATATACTGCAAAATTTATATCATTTCAAAAGTTAAGAAATTAAAATGAAATTTTGATTATCAAAAACATAATAACTTCTTATAAATAAGAAAATATTCATAAGTTTTTATAAACCCCAATCAGCAAGGTATTTTTCATGAGAACGGATACTTTACTTTTCCATTCTAATCAAAGCGCATTCAAAACAAGGTGAATGCATTTCAATTTATATATCAAGTTAATTAGCTAAATTATATAATAATTAGAGCTAAATTATCAAGTTAAGTTTTCTTCAATTGTTCGGATGTTTTTGTTTAAATAACTATAATTTGCAATTATATTTTCAGTAAAATCTATTGCTCTAGTGCAGCAAATTTTGAAAAAACTGGGTTTTTTGCAATTAAATCCACATTAGCAAACCCTGTTAGAATATATTTTCAAGAATTTTGAGATATATTTATGGAGCTTTGTGTTTTATTTTTTTACATTTGATATTTTATTGCATAAATTTTTACTGATAATATGAAATATGATTACATGAATAGCAATGCGTAGTGTTCTAAAACAAATGTTTTATGAAAAATTAATAAGAATCCTCTTCATGATATTTGTAGCATTGCATAAGCAAATATATATAAGCAATTTTGCATTTCTTATTTTAAATTATCCAAAACTACCTTTTATTGTTACACCTAAATTATGATCATATGTTAACTGTACTGATTTACATTTGGTAATAGCTATCTATCTTAAGTGATTTTTAAGTTGAAGTTTGCAGGTCTGAACCTATACGTTTTAAGAGCTCATTTATCTCATAATATTTCTTAATTAATTACCTATTAATCATACAAATGTCATATAATCAGTTGTCTATTATAATTAATCTTCGAAAATATGTATATGTTATGAATAGTTGTAATTAATTTTTTAATTACATTAATTTATATATTTCTGAAATAGGAATTTGGTATCCTGAGGAGCTAATTGTGCGAGAGGAATTTTTCATTCTTTCATCATGCCTTTTCTACTAAGATTATTAAGTTAAAATTGCAAGCTTATAGTTATTCAACAACCTTATATTTCTTCTATCACTACATTTTTTCAAACATATCTTCTGATTAAATTCTATTTTTGATTTGATTTTAAATTCATATCGAAAGAAAGCATTAAAAAATTTGTAGATGTTATAAATAGTTATAAAAATTCGTGAAAAATGCATTATTAAGGAATCAATTATTTTTTATGCAAAAGTTGATTTTCCATTCAAATACTGCTCTAACTTTTAGTAATTACCAAGTACTTCATAATCAATTCTCAATTATATTGTCTTTTTGAAATATAAAACTCTGTGAAGAAAAAAGTATTTTTTAACAATTTCGTTTGCTTTATTTTATAATGTTTTAAAATGTAAGTTTTTAATTATGTAAGTTGAAAAAGTTTATTTTATTTTCAAATGCTAGTTTCTCTTATTTCTAGGTTTATTTTTTTCTCTTAAAACTTGTTAAGTGATTTGAAAGAGGTTGCATTGCTGAACAAGAATTTTAGTGCTATGTAGCAGAAAAAAAAGAAAGATTTTAATGTGTAAAAAGGTAATTTGCTGCTTTTTATAATAAATAAATCATTAATTTTAATATTCATTTTTCTCAGTAGCTGTAGCAAGTTTAGTGCACCTAACACTTGATTATTATTTTCATCCATTTAAAAGATTGTGCAATAATATCGGCTTTCATGTAATCGATTAGACTTATGTGCTGGAATAACATTTTGCAAGTTAGTTTCCAATAATTAAGATGTCTAGTTCATGATTGAAGCTCACTCAACTAGATTATTATAGTTTATATATATATANATGTATGTAGACAATTTACTGTGAAATCTGTATGGAACAGTAAAATCTCCAGGAAAGACCACCTCTATGTAGAGACCAATATTGGCGGACACAGAATTCTTTCTATAAACTTTGTGTCGAAGAAAACCTTTAGGAGAGACCATTAAAACTTCTCCCAGTGACCGGGCAAACATGATTATTTTCAATTGCTCTTTTTTTTCTTCCATTATGCATTTATATTCTGTCTCAGATTACAATTTTAACTGCTCCACTGTTTTGGTTGCTTGGGGGAATTTCATCCATATGTCTTTAAATTATGATCTAGCTCTGTGTTAGATTACTTTTTTCAGGTGTGTCATGTGTCACAACATTGTCACTTTTAAAATGATTGATTGGAATTTTGAAATGTCCCAGTGCGGTGAAAATTGTACTGTAGCCACTAATTAATATTCAGCAATAGACGTCTAGTAAATAATTTAATAGTTGTCTTGCATGCCACTCTTCAACCTTCTAAGGGGCCTTTTTCACTCAGGGCCACAAGATAAGCATTATAGATTTGATGTTTTCAAAGATGTAACAAGTATTTTGTAATGAACTCAATCATTTAATTTTTTTTCATTTCGTATTCTGATTTTATTTTATTTGTTAATTAAAACCATAATATTGAAACATGTTTAATAAATATTTGAAGCTATAAATATCACTATCATTCTGTTTGTATTAATTTACAGATATTCAACTATTTTATGACACAAATCATGTTTTCATCTCTAAAAATTATGTTACTTTGTATGTTCGATAATATATTTTCATATTAATGTATGGGTTTTTATTTATTAAATCAGCACTTTGTATTTGAAGTTTGTAATTCATATTTAGGATGTCTGGTGAAGGAGAGGATGTTGTTGAAAATGATATTGAATCGGATGTTCAGCACACAAGACGAAGACCTCTTCTGCCTCGAACGAGTAAAGATCCATCAGAACCTACAGAACAGGAAACAGTTATAAATGCTGAAAAGCCTCTTAATCAAAGAAGCAGCTATAGAATTACAAAACGTGCAAAAAGAGACACAAGTCCAATAGATTCTGTTGTGAAGAAAACAGGTGATTATCATTAAAAAAAACTAGCATATTTATTAGAATATAATACTTTTATGTATTTTTTAAGATTCTGTATTCAAGGGACCAATGATCTACACAAATTATTTATATTAGCATTCTTCATAAAATTCTGTGAGTTTGCTTGAAATAGCTGTTCAAAATAGTATACAGTAAAAGCTCACCTATCCAGAAAGTGCAAGTAACCTAAATTTTCAGAAATTAAAAAATAAAAAATGCAACTTATTTGTTCTGCATCTGATATTTAACCATTTTTTCTTGCCTGTCACTTTTGGCGCATATCATTGGCTTCACATGAAGAAAACGGAATCAAATATTGCAACCTTATTTAAAGTTCACTTGTATTACTGCATGCATTTCTTAAAAAATTGGCTGATCTTAATCAAATGTTATCCTCCAAGCACCAGTTTTGTTACCAGTCTACTGCAAATTTCGTAAAAAATAAAGCAATTATTATTAAATTATTTTTTACTAAAAACTATTATTATTAACTTCTTGGACTCAATTTCAAACGAAATGCCTTAAAACTGACATTCTCCCACCAGATACAAAATTATAGTATCACACTAGGTGTACTAAAAGTATGCATTGATTCAAAATTTATTTGAGCATTCTTAATTTATCTAGGCCGTGTAGATAGATTGAGGAAAAACATCTGGGCAATTCTTTAATCTTGAACGAAATATCAGTAGTGTATTTTGGGAAAGTTTATACCCGGCAAGAGTTTTTTTTTTCCATTTAAAGAGTCCCCATTCTCTTCTTAATACACTTGTCATCCTCCCAACATCTGTTCTTTGCAGAAGGCTTGGGCACCGTGCCGAATTAAAATGAAATCTGTGTCCAGATTTTTTAGTTTCAGAAAGTTTAGTTACTCATATTATATGATGTATAATAATATTTTGTCCTCAAAGAACAGATGGCTTTCATTGGTTCTTCTTCGGATTTAAATACTGTACTTTTTCCCCCCATCATTTTAAATACATAGACAATACCTTGAAATCTGAAAATCTAAGAATTGCTGTTATTTTCAAAGCTTATTCAAGCAGTCTGTTTGATATGGCAAAGCTATTTTTCCTTTCTTTTACTAAAGATTCGAAGATGGTATCATCTAACTCCTCAAATAGAGGTTTTTTGCTAGTGCACTCAATTCAATTTCCTCTACTTTTGTCTTTCTGTCAATGCTCAAATGCCTTTGAAGTTCACTGTATAATACTGATTCTAATTGTCGACCAATAATCCAATAACGACTGATTCTAATCGTAAACATTTGAAATGTTTAGCCTCCACCCTTACTATTCAGTTTTCTCTTTCTCCTTTAGAACAATTCTATGAAACAATCACTTTCTTTTACTTTATATCTCTTCCATTCAATTCTACCCCCTTTCTATTCACCTAAGAATGACATCCTCTCCGTTTTACTCAACCTTTCCTATTTAATTCTCCCACCCCACCTTAAAATTTTCTTTTTACTCACTGGTGAGCATAAGTACCATTCAATGCAACCTTGACCTACTTGCAGCTGGGAGGAAATGCCATTGACCATACGTGCAGAGGTTTGCATTCCTCTCTCTTCTCACATGGACTTTACAGACACCTACTCATTTGTTAGCAATCTTCAAATCAGTTTCTGTGATTGATTGATCCTCTAATTTTTTCACCCACACATTGCTCCTTTACTATATAACATTAGTCTAACGCGGTAATTATTTTTAAGAAAAAAATCTTTAAGGAAATTGCCAAAAAAAGTATTTATAAATTGTGTGGTAGGGGGGAGAACGCTTTTTTTTGATATTGATTGCTAATCTGTATGAAGCTATAAAGGAGCGATTTATCCAGTTGGGGTGTTTTATCAGTATATTTTTGAATAAACTTTTTATTACTTGTTCGCATTTTTATTCTCAGCTTTTTTCCAGTCTATACTGTTACACGAAGCAGCTAGAATCTTTCTGCTTTTAACACAAAGAAATTTAATTTTTTATAAGCGTTAATTGCAATAGTTTTTTGTTTTTATTAAAAATATTAGATATTATTAAAAACTAAGATTTTCAGTGCTCAACTATCCGTAATATTTGTATATCTGTGATACAACGATTTCTGTGCATTCTGGATACTCAAGCATTTACTGTACTTTGTTTTATTATTTTCATACATTGTTAACTCCTCCATTTAAAGATCTTGTGATCAATCAATTTAAGCATGAAAATTATGTTGCTTATCAGCAAACAAAAGAATAGGAGAGAAGATGTAGACTTGACTTAAACTTAATAATTTTAGCAGATAATATTTATAGTATGGATATTCCTTCAGTTCAGACATTTTAGACTGCAGGCAGTTTTCTATATCCGTGGCCAAAACATTAATTAGACACAGACAAAAATTTGCATCTAAGAAATGTCTTTTGATCCTATTGACTGTTTTATTAAATTTTTTGACGCTTTTAAAAACGAATTGTTCCTGTGTGTGTATTTTACGAATAAATAATTGGAGATAAATGAAAATATGATAGATAGAGATGAATAGATAGAGATAAATGAAAATTGCAAGTCCAACATATCTTGCATTATTGTTAGTTCTTAATTATATTATTCTTTTGCATTGCAAGTAATTCCTATTTTCAAGAGTTCAAAGAGGGCAGATGCCTTAAAAGTAGGTATTGCCCCTGTCTTTGTAGCATGTATCTGAATGTACTCAACGAAGTATTTTACTTTATAAATTCAACTCCTTTATTCAACTATGTTGCTGAAAGAGTGTTCTTTTAAAGTTAACATAAAAACAAAAGAAAATGTGATTTATATTTTTAAAAAATTGAAAATTTCTGTACAAGGAAAGGTACATAAAAAATTCTCCACAATTTTAATTTTATTTTAATACTAGTCCAATTTCTTTGGAAATATGCAAAATTAACCAAGTTTTTATAGGAATAATAAAAAGTTCTCTATTCAGTCTCAGCTACTTTCTTAATTCCAATATCTTAATACTTCGTAAATATACATAGTTATGAAATAAATTTTTAAACTTGCATAAACACTGTCAAGATGTGAAACAAAGACTGGTATTGGATCTTGTGAGAGAATGTGGAACATAGCTTAAAAACATTAAATTTTATTTATTTATTTACATTAAAAAAGAAGAAATAAAATAGATCAGAATTATAAATTTCAAAGCAAAGGAAACTTTATGGTATATGTAATGAACTTTGCATCTTTGGTCCCTTCTTTTTTACTATTTTTAGATGTTAATGTTATCCTGTTATACCTTTGCAAACAAACAAATATTTCATATTAGTTTTGTCAGCTTATTTTTAAATATAACTATTTTTTAGTCAATCCGAAGCAAACAACACCTGCTCCTGTGTCTAAAACTCGAAGACCATGGGAATTGTGGAGTGTCGAAGACAAAAATTCATTTTTTGAAGCTCTTTGTGAGGTAAACAAATTATTTTATTTAAGTTGAAACAAGCAACCAGTTTTCTTGTATCTTTTTTTCTTCAAATAACGATAACTTAGCTGAATTATCGTTATCGTCTTATTCGATAAACTTAGCTAAATAGAAAATTGTTCCTTACAGCTTGACAGTTAAAGATTTAGTTACAACTGTGATATTTTCTTTTTATTTCAGCTAAGGGTTTTTGAATAATTATTTTACTTTCTTTCTAGATTAACTCTAAAATTAGAATAGCATATATTGTATAACTGATTATTTTAATGTTATTTGAAGTGACAAAGTTAAAGTTGTACTTTAAAGCTGAAAAGACTGTATAAAAATTCTTTTTAAAAATCAAATGTTTTGTTTTGAAATAGTTATAAACAGATAGGAAATCTTAAATAAACTCTAAACCCATAGCCAGAAAACATTAAAAGAAATTGAGCATTTATCGAGAAAAAGTTTATAATAGGTAGGTACTTTATGTTTCAAATTTTCTTTTGCCCAAATATTTAACAAAATTATACTGTTTTTTTTTTTTGTTGTTGTTGCTATAAACAGCAAACTTGTATTATTTTTGCTACGAATAACAAGATTGAAATTATTCAAACAAACTGAGTATTTATGTATACATCAATTCCACTTGACTTTGGGACTCTAGACTTCTAAATTTCTGCGTCTTTCTTTTTTAATTAATTTTTTTAAAATCTAAAGCGGATCCTAATTTAAAATTATCACAGCGCAATCATCAATTGATTTAATAGTAATTCTAAATGATTAAACCCTTAATTTCCTTATCAGTTGTCTTTGAAACTTCAAAATAAGGGAATCTTTTTCAAAGTTAATAAGCGATGCAATTCTCTTTCTGCGCACACATAGAAGGCTGATTTAATCATTTAAAATAACACTTTGTTAAAAAGAAGAATGAGATGATTATCACTGAAAACTGAATAATATGTTTGTATGTTACTTGCCTGTAAAACAGTTCAAAAGAGAGCTAAAAACATTTGGCAGCTTTAGAATAATTTTCTATAAACAGCTAATATTATGCAACAATTGTATTCCGCAAAGAAATACAGAAGAATAATGAAAATTTAATTAATCGCTAACATGCACAAATCACTAAAATATGAAAACTTTTACGCAATTAAAGTTTTAGTTATGATTTATTTCTTATGAAAAATACTACTCGTAGATTGTAATGGATTTTGTAATGAAATTTATAATCTTGATGATAGCACCTTTTTCATCTGTCATATTCTAAGTGGAGTCTTTTTACTAACTTTATTTTATATTTATTTCATTAGAAAATAGCCTTTAGTGACTTATAATCAGCATAATTTCTTAAGTCAGCATAATTTATTAACAAAAAACAAATATTATTTACAAAATTAAATTGAAGGTGTTGATTAAAAAATTATGACTTTCTAAATTTTCAGAATACGAATTTGTGCCTTAAATAAAATTAAATTGCTCTTTAAACGATGTTTTAAAAATTAAAACATAGAGAAGAAGAGAAAGAATTGATCTCCGAAATGAAAAAAAAAATGAAAAGAAGTTATACACTAATGAGCGGCGGGTAAATTCTTTTACTTCTATTATTATGTACAATCAATTATTATGTGCAGTCATAACTTTTCCATCTATTGATAACCTAGACAAAAAAATATAAAACAAGAAAAGAATAAAATATAAGCACTGGAGGGCTTTAACTACAATTGTTCTTTTTATATATATTATATATATTTGTACTTATATATATATATGTATATATATATATACACACAATAGTCTTAAGATCTGTCAGCTGTAATTTATTATATGTTAGATTGAGTTATATGTAACTTTCCATGCTATAACTTTCTTTAATTAATCAGACCGAACTCTACAGACAGACTAAATAAGCTCAAAGCATGTTTTATTTTTATTAAAATTTAAGAAAACAATGTTAGTTTTTAAAAAAAAATATATTTTTAAAAAGGTTGTTTATTTAAAAACAAGCTAAATATTTTTTTGTTTAAAAAAAAAATCATTTAATTATTTTTTTGGTTTTACAATTTATTTATAAGAAAGGTGACGTAATTTACTTTAAAGCCAATTGTCTCTTTAATCAAAATTGCTGTTCTAAAACAAGTTTGATTCATAAAATTGAATTAATATCCCTGCTAAATTGTATGCCATGTTACAAAAGTCATTGATTTCTAACTTCAAAAGAATAAAATTTGTTTGCATTTTTTCTTGTCACCCTATTAAATTTGCATTTTATTATATTAATCTATAATAATAATAATGACTAATATTATTTATTTATTACTTTTTTGGCGGGAAATATCCTCAAATTTAAAGATATAAATAATTTTATTTATTCCACTTTATTTACTTGCTCTGTTACATTTTGTTTAACATTCTCTCAAAGCGGAAGCTATTTATGACTTATTCTAAAACTTTTTCCCCGGTTGCTGAAAGAACTATATCTTTTATTTTGGAACATGTAATTTTTTAAATTATGCATAAGAATGAAACTTTTTTTTTAATAAGTTGTCTTTAAGTGATGAATTTATTTTTACATTCAAATATTTTACCCCTGATTTATTTTGATTCTTTATTATGATTTATAGTTTGGAAAAGACTTTGAAAATATACAAAGTTATATTGCACAGAAAGGCAAGAAGAAAGGTTTTGCATCAAATATGATTAAAAATAAGGACCAAGTCAGACACTTTTATTATAGGACATGGCACAAGATATCAAAATTTTTACAAATAAATGAAAGTAAGTATTTTAGATGTCTTCTAACATTTTCTGAAAAATTGCTGAAATTTGTTATCAATTTCACTCTAACAAATAGCCAGATATTTTTCAATTATTTATTATTGTTATTATTCCTTTATTGCAAACCAAAAAATATTACCAGTGATTTGTTAAATTTATTAGTGCTTTGTTTTGCTATAATTACCGATATTAAATCAAATTGTCTATCGATTAATGAAATTTTAACAAACATAAATATGTTTGAACCAGAAAATTTAGAAACCTGTGCTTTATTTTCTTAAGAAACATTATAGTGAATAATTTATAGTGAATAAACTAAATTATTTCTGAATTTTCTGCCACAATTTGTGTCTGCAGAAAAATCATGTTATCAATATAAAGCTTAATTACACTGAAATGTCGATATGTAAATTAGAGAACAAAAAAATATTCACTTAAGTAAAAAAAATTCTTAAAAATTGTAATTAAAAATTATCAACTCACAAAATAATTTTTTTAAAATTATTTGATTTAATCGTAGTTTAAATCATAGATTAAACTATGTTTCATTTGTCCTTTGTGCATTTATGTATTCAGGGGTAGAAGTCCTCCTATATTTCCTATTTTTCCTATATTTTTATAAAAAGCTAAGAAAGCCTCCTATTTTTCCTTTATTTCCTATATTTTTCAAAATTGGCCTATATTTTTTTCCCTCTAATATTTTTTTTTTACTATAGAAGACAATTTTCTAGATTTTTCTTTCCTCAGATAGTCATGATCATTTTGAAATTCACTTGTCCTCAATACTGCTTAATGACAATGGGTAAGTGAACACATAAATAGTGTTCTCCCCCCTTCCCTATCTCTTGTAGTTGTTTAACAAAAGTTTCAAGGTACAATGACTAAGTTAGTGTGTGGACTCCTATTGTTAGGGCCTGGGTAGATTTGTGGAACAACACCCCTTTTGTCAATAAAGGGTGAAATAACAGAGAACCAGTAGTAGCATGAATGGAATGTATCATAGAGTATTATTTATCAATATCACTAAAAAAGTCAGAGGGGGGTTTTGTGGAAATTGCAGTTGTCTGTCAAACTCTTTCTTTCCTTATCTGCTGTATCTCTCCTCAATATCCATGGGTCACTCATTCTATTCAAAGATGAAGACACCTCAAGGTCAGTTTTTTTTCTATTCACCAGTTTTATTTTCTTCTATGGAAGTAACAGGAATTGTCCTAACTAATTTTGTCTCCTCCTCTTTTTGGGGGAGTTTTTCTGTCAACTTCCATTGGTTCATTCAGAGGAGTGAATATAACTTGTTACCTGATTGGACCTTCATCACCCATTTTAAGTTACCCTTTGGAAGTAGTGAGTGTTGTCATTGACTACACAGAAAATTAGTTTTAGTGCTTTCTAAGCTTATACTACTTTGTATGACTTTTTTTTCTGAGTAGATGGCAAACTAAATTATTATGTTAATATTTTGCTTCAAAATGTTAACTTTCAATTAGATTATTTAAGTTTTTATTTTATTATCTTTGATTAATTTATTTTTATATTTATTGCATTTAATCCATTTAATTTATAAG